TTGGCACCTTTGTCAAAAATCAATTGAATATAAGCGTATGAGTTAATTTATGGATTCTCAGCTCTATTCCACTTATCCAAATGTCTAGCCTTATGCTAGTACCACACTTTTAATTACTGTTACTTTGTAGTAAGTTTTGAAATTGGTCAGCATGAGTTCTCCAATTGGTGTATTACATTGATTGATATTCATTTATTGAACCACTCTTACATACCTTGGATAAATCCCACTTGTTCCTGGCATATAATCCTTTTGAAAAAATTATTTTTAATTGTGGTAAAATATACAGAATATAATACTTATCATCTTAACCATTTTAAGTGTACAGTTTAGAGACATTAAGTATGTTCACATTGTTGGGCAACCATCACCACCATCCATCTCCAGAGCTCTTTTCACCTTGTAAAACTGAAACTCTCTACCCATTAAGCACTAAGTCCCCATCTTCCCTTTCCCCAAGCCCCTGGCTCTCAGTCTTCTACTGTTTCTATGAATTTGACTACACTAGGTACCTTATATAAGTGAAATCATATAGTATCTGTTCTTTTGTCACTGGCTTCTTTTACTTAACATAATGTCCTTAAGAGTTATTCATATTTTAGCACATGTCAGAATTTCCTTCCTTTGTAAGGCTAAATAATATTCCATTGTATGAATATACATATTTTGTTTATCAGTTCATCTGTTGATGGGCACTTGGGTTGCTTCTACAGCTTGACTGTTGTAAATAATGCTCTATGAACATGGGTGTAAAAAATATTTCTTTGGGTCTTATAATTCTTTTGGATTTATACCCAGAAATAGAATTGCTGGACCAATGGTATAAGCCTTTTTAATATTCTGCTGGGTTAACTTTGCTTGTATTTTGTTGAAGAGTTTTGTATCTGTATACATAAGGGATATTGGTCTGTAATTTTCTTGTGGTATTATTGTTTGGCTTTGGTATCAGGGAGAACTGGCCTTATAAAATGAATGAAGTGTTTCTCCCTCTTCCATTTTTGGGCAGACTTTGAGAAAGATTGGTGTTACTATTTTTTAAAAGTGATTGGTAGAATTCACCAGTCAAATCATGTGGTTCTGGGCTTTTCTTTGCAGGGAATTTTATGATTACTGATTCAACCTTTTTACTTGTGTTATGACTTTGTTAAATTAACATTTGTTAGGTGGAGGATAGAGATCCATGGTTCAACAGTAGACCACAAGAGAAACTGCAATAGAGAAGTTTATTACTCATAGGTCCTAGTTACAGGACATGTCTCAAAGAGCCGCATGGGAAAGTCAAAGCAGGAGACAGAGGCAGCACGGTGGCACATGCCTTTATTAGGATCTGTGGGTGGAGTGCTTTGGGCTTCCTGGGCTAGGGCTGGGTTGGTCAGTTCAAACGAAAAGAGTAGGGTTTTGGTAGTCTCCATGGGGATTTTTATCCAGGGGGCGCATAAGGCATACAGGTGCTAGTAGCAGTGGCGACTGTTTAATCACAACAGTCAGATCAGGAGCTTACATTTGCTTCTGTCTCCGTGAGCTGCCATCTAGGGCCTTCACTTCCCTGAGGGGGATAGTGTCAGTTTAAGGTCCTTGTAGGTGGTTTGTCCAAGTGAAATGGATGCCAAGGCAGCAATACCATGGAGTAGCTTAGCTAAACTCTAGACAATTTATAGGTCTTTTCAGATTTTCTGTTTCTTCTTGAGTCATTTTTGCGTTTTGAGGCGTTTCCATTATCTAGGTTATCTGATTTGTTGGCACATAGTTGTTCATAGTGTTCTTGTATAATACTTTTTATTTCTGTAAGGTTAGTGATAATGTTCCCATTTTCACTCCTGATTTTAGTGATTTGAGACTTCTCTTTTCTTGGTCAGTCTAGCTTAAGGTTTGTCAGTTCTGTTGATCTTTTCGAAGAACTTCCGGTTTTGTTGATTTTCTCTGTGGTTTTTATATTCTCTATTTCATGGATCTCTGCTCTAATTTTTATTATTACCTTTTTTCTTGTTTAGGGTTTATTTTATTTTTCTAGTTCCTTAAGGTGGAAGGTTTGGTTATTGATTTGAGCCCCCCTAAACCTTTTGAAAAATGTAGATGTTTGCAGCTATAAATTTTACTCAGAGCACTTTTATACAGCATCTCATATGTTTTGATATGTTGTGCTTTCATTTTTATTCATCTGAAAGTACTTAATAGTTTACCTTGTGATTTGTTTTTTGACCCACTGGTTGTTTAATACTGTGTTGTTTACTTTGCAGTTTGCAGATTTTCCAAATTTTCTTCTGTTATTGAAGAAAATAACAGCTTTCATTCCACTGTGGTCAGAGAAGATACGTTCTATAATTTCAATTTTTAAAGATTTATTGAAACTTGTGTTGTGGCTGAAAAGATAGTTTATCCTGAATAATGTTCTATTTGCACTTGAGAAGAATGTGTATATGGCTGTTGTTGGGTAGAACATTCCATATATGTCTCTTGGATCTAGTTGATTTATAGTATTGCTCATGCCTTCTATTTTCTTGTTTACCTTTTGTATGGTTGAACTACCCACTATTGAAAGTGGATTTTTATGTTTTCAAATATTTCCCACTTTGGTTTTGACAGTTTTTGCTTTATATACAGGGATGGGCAAAAGTAGGTTTATAGTTGTGAGAACATAAAACAGAGTTTATTTTTGTGTTACTATTTATTAATTATTCTATTTTTTCCATGTGAACAACTGTAAACCTACTTTTGCCCACCCCTATACTTTGTTATATGTTGTTAGGTGCATATATGTTTATAATCAGTTATATGTTCTTGACCCTTTTTTCATTATATAATGTCCTTCTTTGTGTCTTGTAACTTTTTTTTTATCTTAAAGCCTATTTGTCTGATATTAGTATAGCTACTCCAGCTTTCTTTTGGTTACTACTTACACTGAATATCTTTCCATTCTTTCATTTTCAACTTATTTGTATTTTTGGTTCTAAAGTGCATCCCTTGTAGACAGCTTATAGTGGATTGCTTAAAAAAATCTATTCTGCCACCCTCTGCCTTTTCATTGGAGTGTTTAATCCACTTACCTTAATGTGATTACAGATAGGGAAGTTCTGCCATTTTTCTATTTGTTTTCTTACATCATTTTTGTTCCTTATTTCCTCCATTACTGCCTTTTTTGGTGTTATCTATTTTCTCATGTAACATTTTGGTTCTTTTCTCATTTATTTTACAATGCATCTTTTAGTTATTTTTTTAGTGGTTGCTCTGGAGATTACAATTAACATATTAATTTATAACAATCTAGTTCAAATTAATAACAATTTAGTTTTAATATTATGTAAAATTTTTCTTCTGTAAAACTCTGTTCCCTTTTGTGTTACTATTGTCACAAGTTACATCTTTATAATTGTGTGACCATCAAGATAGATTTGTAATGATTGTTTCATATGTTTATCTAATTGATTGATTTTTATTTTATTTTATTTATTTTATTTTATATTTTATTTATTTAAAATATATCTTTATTGATTTCAGAGAGAGGAAAGGAGAGGGAGAGATAGAAACATCAGTGATGAGAGTCATTGATCGGCTGCCTCCTGCTCGCCCCCAACTGGGGATTGAGCCCGCAAGCCGGGCATGTGCCCTGACCAGGAATCGAACCTCTATAGCCTGGATCCTAGGTCGACGCTCAGCCGCTGAGCCACGCCCGGTGGGGCATAATTGATTGCTTTTTAAATGCTAAACCACCCTTACATTTTTAGAATAAATTAAGTCAATAGTGATGTGTTATTGTTTTATTCTTATAATATATTGCTGGTTTAATTTGTTAATATTTTGTCAAGGATTTTTGTGTCTGTGTTCATAAGGGATATTTGTCTTTAATTGTGTGTGTACGTGTGGTGTATGTGAGAAAGAGAGTGTATAATGCTAGTCTTACGCGTTGAAAATTATTCCCTTCTCTATTTTATGAATGAGTTTGTGTTAATTGATGTTATTTCTTAATGCTTAGTAGAATTCATCAGTGAAACCATCTGGATCTAAACTTTTTTGTGTGGGCAGCTTTTAAAATTATTCCCTTAAAAAAAGATACAGGGTTATTCAGATATTGTTTCATTATCAGTTTTGGCATGTTGTATTTTTTGAAGTAGTTTGTCTAATTCATCTAAGTTGTCAAATTTGATAGCATAAAGTTATACATAATAGTCTCCTAATCACCTTTTTTTGAGGTAACATGGGTTAATAACATTTTAATGTCTGTAGCAACATAATTTTAAAAAACGCTTATAATAGCATTATAACAAACATTTATATAGTGCTTACTATGTACCTTTTACTTTTCAAATATTAACTCTTAATTCCCACAACCACTTGTGAGGCAGATAACACTATCACTCCACAGTACAGATGAAACCAAGGTTAAACTAAGCATGCGTAGATACCTTGCTCAATACTACAGAGCGGGTGTATTAGGGCTTACACCGTAATCAGGCGGTTTGGGTCCAGAGTCCTTTTTTCTTAACTGCTATTTACTTTGTCTATCTTAAATGACAGATACCTGTTCTATTATTCTTATGGATTGTGCTGTGTTCTTTCTAGAAACCATCCTGGCTCCCACCATCTTTGTACCACTAAGTGGGAATGTTTGTTTCTGATATTCCTAATTGGAACTTGGAATGCCTTCCCCCCCATAAAAACATTACATGTGATGGATGGCTAGGCGTACTTGAAATATTACTGTTAATACTCTCCTTCAGGCAGTTATGTTAAAAAGACTTCTGGGGCTTCTCTGGGAAGTTCACTACAAAATTTGAAACATTGTTTCTGTGGGGAAATAGTAGAGAAAATTTATTTTGAGTTCGCTTGCCTAAAATGTTAAACTTTAGTTATATGGAAGTTGTATTTTTTTGAACCTCTTAACAATTTGAATTTACTGAATTTGTGACATAAATTATAAATTATAATTTTAAAAAGACAAAACATTAATTGTGCACATATTTTATTGTTTCACTTTGATTAATTTGTTAATTAATATCTTTTAGGGTTATTCAAGTGCTCAGAAGAATATTCTTCTTCACGTGGATCAGAACTGTGTTCGCAATTCTTACGATGTCTTCTCTTTGCTGCGGTAAGAAACTTCTTAGCATCCTCCTGCGTTTTCTAAAGAATCTTCCTCATTTGAGTCTGTGACATTTCAGTGTGAGGAAATGTATGGGAGCTTAACAAGCTATTTTTCAGGCTTGGCATTTTTTAGTGAGAGCTTCATAAATTTTGTAGCTACAGTGATTTAAGTTTATCTCTTTCACAAAGTCTTTGGAAAGTCATTTCCTTTCTTTGGACAGTGGGAGAGAATGATTAGAAACCAGTGATCTTAAAACAGGGACATGAGCTGTTTCTAGTCTTCTGCACTATAAAGAGCAGCAAGCAGAGGCACAAAATTTAGACTTATCAGAATTTTAACAACTCCAGCATTACTGGAAGGGCCCTCCAATAGCCCCAGACATGGCTTAGAGTTCTGACCTGCTGTTCATTTTTTAAAAGAATCACGTTTGGCAGTGCAAAGGAGCTTTGCACGAATCTCATGCTCAGAGGCTTAACTGCCGAGCTCTGTATTTTTATAATGTCTGGGCTTAATTTTGAAAGATTTTAAAATTTGGTTTTAATTTTCAGTGTGGTAGATCATCTAGGACATTTTCCTAGGAGGCAGGTTACCAAAATAAATGCAATTCAAAATAAAGTTAACAGTGACACTCAACCTATGTGCACCCTTCGCAGACAGATGGTTCATTGAAATTTGATTTTGGAAGTAGTTTTCTAATGTTTACATAACACATCATAAATTTCAGACCATTAGACATCCTTTATATATCTGCTAGAGGAAGAGTCCAGAAGGATTATTGGACTCTTGTCCCATTGGATGATTATTTGTTTTATAAACATTATGAAATAGGCCTTTCCTTTGCAAATCTTGAATTTTATTATACGTGATGATAGAGAGTTTGATCACATGGACCGTATAAATTGCTCTTAAGAGAATGATTTCAACTAAAGTAACCACACATATTTGATGACTTTTGATTCTTATCAGAGAGGTGCTTTCACTTTGACTTCTTAGGCTATGTAAGAGGATTTAGTAATCAGATGGTAAGGAAAGCAGGAGGTGGCAAAATACAGAACTAATATTTTCGAGCCTATTCATTTCGGGACTACGTTAAGTTTTAAGAATTGGAAAGAATGTACAGGAATAGTTTGAAATGTGAGTAAGCCTCTAATATTTCTTGTCCTCTTTTCCTCAGTAAAATGAAAGTATAGATATTATTTTAAAGACATTTTCCAGGTTTGAGAGTTTTGGCCTTATTAGAGAAATCAGTAGATATAAGGGAAAGGGATCAGTCGGGGCAGAAGAGGCGCTGGGAAAGGCGGCATCGGAGGAGCCAAGCGCGGCGGCTCGCGCAGCATCGGCAGCTGCCACGACGCGGAGGGCGAGCGCGGGAAGGCGGCGGGTCTCCGGAGGCCGAGCGGCACCCGACCCTGACTTAGGTGTCCAGGTTGCCCCAACTCATTCAACCTCTACGGTTCTTCTAAAAGGTGGAAGCAGTGAAGTTAAAAATTTGTGTAATTTACAGGCATTTTCCCATTTATGACCTCATTCTCTTAGAAACTTTTTGTGTTCACACACCAGCGCAGAAGCTGAAGAGGTGTTAAATGATCTGTGTATCCGAGGGCACACCGCAAGAAAGCCGGGCTGGAGGCTGGTCTGAAGGTGTTCTGACAAGCATGCTTTTAGGCCCTTCTCGCAGTCCCACTTACCTTTCTAGGTTGGTGGGTATGAGGTGAACGTTGGTAGTTGCTCAGTTATTCAACATTGATCTTGCAGTGATATGTCTCTCGGGGGTTTCATTTCCAGGGTGTCTTCCAGATTCCTCAGGTGTGTCAACAATTTGAATTGCCTTATTAACTAAGTGGCCTTCTCTTCACCATTGTGTAAATCATTTACAGCTGGTAACACAGATAGACTTTTCTGAACCAGATCAAGTGTGTATTTGTCAACCAAATTACCAGAACCCAGAGAGTTACTCTGAAACTAGAAAGTTCAAATTGTACTTGTCCAAGTTAATGAGTGAGATGCAACTTTCTCTGCAAATTCTCTCAGACATTATTAAAGAGTAACCATCAATTCTCTGTTTAATCAAAAGCACTTCTTTTACCACAGTTTTTACTGACACATATAAAGTGCTTTCTGGAAAATAACTTTGTGCCCATCAGTTTTGTTCATAGTTTCCCCTCTTTAACTCAGGCAACATTGTTCCTGTATGAGAATAATTTAAAAAGCATATCTTTTCTTTTCCTGATGCTTCTTGGCTTGTGAAATTGTTACTTCTTGATCTGTAATTTTATGTGAAAACACACAGTCAGAATTTTTTAATGTCACTTTTGATTCCACAAAATTCTCAGTGCCTTTTGGAGTTAGGATTAGAATCCAGGTCTCCGGATTCTGTTTTACGAGAGTATATTCTAGTTAACAACTTTCACTGTGTTATTATGTGTGAATGTCTCAGGAAAACAGGAAATGTTCACTAAGGTAGGGATTTTGAAGCACCTAAGACCAGGGCATTAAAGCTCCTTCAGGTGGTTATATTGTACCATTTTTAAGGAAAACAATGACCTGGGGTTTTATTCAGTTTTTTTCCACCAATAGTTAAGAATTTAGGCTAAGTTTAGTTGTCAAAGTAATAGAAGCTCTTTCTAAATGCACCTTCAGTGTATATGATGGTAATTAAATTTTTGCTGCTTTAACCCTTGGAAATTCCTGGATTAAGGGTTAGTTTTCATATAAACTGACATTTAATTACGAGCCACTTGATCTTCACCACAGGGTGTCGATGTTGCTCTTTAACTGGCATTTGAAATTTATTTTACAGTTTTGAGGTGAGAAAAATAGGATTATAAATTACAAGTGAGCATTTATTTTTAGGAGTTAACTTTTTTCTATTCCTTCTAGGGTAAGGGGTTTCCAGGTTTATTAGGTAGCTTTTTTCTTTTGGTTCTGTTGATTTTTTTTTTTCTCCTGTTGGTGTAGGTAGGGAGTTATTGAATGATTATAAGGAGAGAAGGAATGCTATGGTCAGGTGTACAATTTAAAATTCTAACATGGTAACAGTGGGGAATAGACCTGAGAGATGAGACTGATAGCAAGGAGGTATCTGTAATCCTACCTGTTCTCTGAGATTGAGAAATTATTTTTGATGTTTAAAATACTCATTTTTTTTTTCTTTCACACATCCTCAAAAAGGTAGCTCTATTGTAGTGAGATAAGTAAGAATAATTCTGGTTTTCTTCTAGTATAGCTTTTATTTTTTTCCATTCCCCTTTTGACTTGTCCTGCGTTAGCCAGTTTAATAAGTGGAAGTATCGTATGGAAATCATGGCCCCCCCGATGAGATTCCAGTTGTAAAACTGCCATATGCCCATAACTGAATGCAAGACTTTGGGCAAGTTCCTTTGGTATGCCACAAACTAGTCTTGTAAAATGGGGATAATATTTGTCTCAGGAGGAATATTATAAGAATTAAATAAGGTAAAACACTAGAAAGATCATACTGCAGTTGCTGACATATAGTAGACATTTAATAAATACTAGTTTTCTGTTTCCCCTTTACTTCCCCCATCTTGGAATTACCTTTCTCCTTTATGCCAGTGTTCTTTTTATGTCACAAGTTTTTCCAGCATTCGGCACAAGTTTTCTTTCTTGCCCTTCTAATGCCTACCACCTCTGCTTTTATAATTACTTATTTTTTTCTTTTCTGGGGCTTTTATTTTTAAATTTATCTTTATTGTTGAAAGTATTACATA